GCCTCAAGCATGCAAGGCAAGCTCTACCACTCAGCTACCTTCCCAGTCCCCAGAATACTTTTTAAAAGAAACTTTTACTGTTGATGTCCATATAGTCATCTTAACTTAGCTCTTCAATAGTTAACATGGGGTAGACTACTGAGGATTAACATATCCAAACTATCTAAGTGTTAGCACAGTTGGACAATAGTAGGATTAAAAGAGTTGAAGTCTTTATATTTCTTTAGTTGGGTATGGAAGACTTGAAGGTGTCTTGCAAAACTCAAAATTTTATAAACAAGCTATATCAGACTTGACCAATATGTATTGGACACTACAGCTTGTGTGTGTGCATGTGTGTGTCCGTGCGTACATGTGCACAAGTGCATACCAGTACTGGGGCTTGAACTCAGGGCTTTAAGCTCTCACTTGGCTTTTCCTGTCAAAGCTAGTGTTGTACCACTTCCAGCCTGTTTGTTTATTGTAGATGAGTCTTCTAGACTTTTCTGCCTGGGCTGGTTTTGAATCGCAATCCTCAGGTCTCAGCGTGATTAACCAGCACCCAGACACTCCAGCTTCTTTATGTTAGGATTTGAGAGTTGAGAACTGGTAATTCTTCAAACCTTTTGTATCTGAGTATCTTTTCTTTCCTCTAGACCATGATTGAAGCTCATGTTGATGTCAAGACTACAGATGGTTATTTGCTTCGTCTGTTCTGTGTTGGTTTCACTAAAAAACGCAACAATCAGATCCGCAAGACCTCCTATGCTCAGCATCAGCAGGTCCGCCAAATCCGGAAGAAGATGATGGAAATCATGACCCGAGAAGTACAGACAAATGACTTGAAAGAAGTAGTTAATAAATTGTAAGTGCTTTTCTCTTACAACCCCAAATATTAGGCAGGTGGAATTTTACCTCCTTTTTAAAAATTCAGTATTATAAGTCTCTTACTTTTTTGTTGGTTGAGGGGCTTTAACTTGGCCTGGGTGCTGTCTCAGAGCTTTTTTGCTCAAGACTAGTGTTCTACCACTTGGAGCCACAGCACCACTTCTGGTTTTCTGGTGGTTAAGTGGAGATAGTATTCTCACACTTTCCTGCCCAGTCTGGCTTTGATCCTCAGATCTCAGCCTCCTGAGTAGTTAGGATTATAGGTGTGAGCCACAGGTGCGCTTTTTACAAGTTTACATGCTTAGTGAATGGTGGCAGAATTTACTTTTTGGTTGAAATTATCTCACAGTAGTAAGGTTTGAATGACAGGTATTTAGCCAACAAAATTAGAAAGTACATTGAATAGATAAAAAGCCTTCCACAATTAATACTGTGTTGGGGATACATGATGAAAAAATGTTTCGGTCCCAGATGATACTCAGTGATAACTTAACATTTTTCTGATGTTCCCATGCAGTGTACAAATGGATGAAAAGAGGTTAATAGAAAAAGTGTGACTTGACCCTAAAGGTTGAGACACCAGTTTTGCTACTAGTCAGCTGTATAATTCATACCCATACCTATAAAGGGGCAGTAGTCTTATATTTGGGTATCTGTTGATTAAATGAGGTGTTCTTTAGGTTTTCTTTCCATATGAGACAAGCCAGGCCTTTTTTCTCCCCCTTTTAACCTACTATTGCTGATGGTTTGCAGGATTCCAGACAGCATTGGGAAAGACATAGAAAAGGCTTGCCAGTCTATTTATCCACTTCATGATGTCTTCGTTAGAAAAGTAAAAATGCTGAAGAAGCCCAAGTTTGAATGTAAGTGAGACACCATAGGATTCTTAAAAATTGTGGGACCTAATGACCGAATAACTTCCCACTTCTGTCTTGCAAATGTAGTCTTGAAGACCATTGTTTTAAGATGTGATAGCCCATAACCAGGTTTATTTTTCTTTTAGTGGGAAAACTCATGGAGCTTCATGGTGAAGGTGGTAGTTCTGGAAAAGCTACTGGTGACGAGACTGGTGCTAAAGTCGAGCGAGCTGATGGATAC